GGAACTGGATCTTGCCGAGAGCCCTGGGAATGAGCCTGGGAGTAGATCCTCCCCAACGGCAGCCTTGCATTGACTGCAGCCCCGCGGACACCATGGCGACAGCCCCGGAGAGGCCCTGAGCCAGAGGCACCCAGCCCAGCCACCCGGATGCCTGATCCACAGAAACCAGAGAGAAAAAGCGCTGGTGTTTGGAGCCACTGAGGTTTGAGGTGATTCGATACACAGCGATAGGTGACTAATACACGTGCCATTGCTACTAGCAACACACCCAAAACATACCCACCCAACAACCACGGGAAGGATGCAAAAGCCCAATGCAGGCAGAACTCACGCCCGCTGGCCCAGCCCTCCACATGCTTTTACCATAGACAAAAAGGGCCTTTGCCAAGGTCACACACAAACTGGGGGGGGGGAAAGGAGGGGGAGAGGCGTTGCTATGGGGGCCTCCAGGCCCCTGGAAACATTGCCAGGCGTTCACAGGGATATACACCCACAAAACTGCGTGTCTGGGGACCTGGGTTGCTACCTTGTCTTGGACTCAGGTGCCTACAGAGAGTAGAGTGATGTTGGCTGGAAGATCTCCATAAAAGTGCTTCTACAGGTACTAAAACCACAGCCAGGAAGAAGAAAATACATGAAAAATGTGAGCTCCAGTGGGCTCACATGTCCGGCTGCATGCGGGTACTCAATATAGTGGGTTCCTTGAATGCAGCGTTTCGTGTATTTGTTGTCATTTCCACTTGTGATCTAAAGGAAGCTCCCCCAGACAAAACCGGTTTGGCTCAGTGGATAGAGCGTCGGCCTGCGGACTGAAAGGTTCCGGGTTCGATTCCAGTCAAGGGCATGTACTTTGATTGTGGGCACATCCCCAGTGTGGGGTGTGCAGGAGGCAGCTGGTTGATGTTTCTCTCTCATGGATGTTTCTAGCTCTCTATCCCTCTCCCTTCCTCTCTGTAAAAAAATCAATAAAATATATATATTTTACAAATAAAATAGCCGAAACTGGTTTGGCTCAGTGGTAGAGCGTCAGTCTGCGGACTGGAAGGTCCCAGGTTAGATTCCAGTCAAGGGCATGTACATTGGTTGCAGGCACATCCCCTGTAGGGGGTGTGCAGGAGGCAGCTGGTCGATGTTTCTCTCTCATGGATGTTTCTAGCTCTCTATCCCTCTCCCTTCCTCTCTGTAAAAAAATCAATAAAATATATATATTTTACAAATAAAATATCCGAAACTGGTTTGGCTCAGTGGTAGAGCGTCAGTCTGCGGACTGAAAGGTCCCAGGTTAGATTCCAGTCAAGGGCATGTACATTGGTTGCAGGCACATCCCCGGTAGGGGGTGTGCAGGAGGCAGCTGGTCGATGTTTCTCTCTCATCAAAGTTTCTAGCTCTCTATCCCTCTCTCCTCCTCTCTGTAAAAAAAATCAATAAAATATATTTTAAAAAATAAAATAAAGGAAGCTCTCCTGGGAATGGGACCTGCACGGACCCCTGGTGACAGGGTCTGGCCTCAGAGCTCAGATGCACAGCAGCCTCCCCGCCCTCTGCTGGACTGCCCATCCTCCCTCCCCCCTGCCCCCCCTTCCCTACCCCTGGATTCCCACTAAGCTTCTGTTGAGGACTGGATGGGCACAGTTCCTACAGCTTTTCCCCAGCCCAAGTCCTCCGTTCCTGCTGCCTGGCAGAGTCCGCCCCCTGTGTGCCCGGGAGAAGGAGATGGGGAGCCAGACCCCAGGCCCAGCCCTCTCCAGCATCCATTCCCAGCATCCCTGGGAGGCTGGGAAAACCTTCTGGGAGCTGGACCAACTACATAACTGGCAGATGCCAATGCAAACGGAACGTGCGAGGAGTCCCCCGCTTAAAAAATAATTAAGAATGTGAAGGCGATGACAGCAGAGCATCAACTCAGGCACAGGGCCCTTCTGCTCAGAAGCTGGCCTGGCCTGGGGGTCTCCATGGAAACCCACCCTGAGTTATCCTTCCCGGAGGGAGGGCCTGCCCGCGCTGCTCTGGGCAGAGAGTGGGTTGGCCCCTGTTGGCTGCCGGATTTCCCGGTGCAGACCTGAGCAGAAACCTGGCCCCGGCCCAGGGTGTCCTCAGAAGCAGAAATATACCTGTGCGTGGGGACGCCTCACGCATCCCGGCCAAACTCTGCTGAGTAAGGAGCGCAGTGGGAACGCGCCAGGGCTGTGGGCTTGACAAACGGCTGGGCTTGCTGGAATGCACGTCGGAAGCATGAGCAGACTTCTAAGAGGATGCAGAGGGGACCGATAGTGGTAGCAGTGAAATGAGCACTCGTGGCCAATGGGCCGGATAGAAACTTCTAGACATAACATGTTTTGTTGGGCTTTCTCCTCCCTCTCCTTCTCCCTCTCCTCTTTCTTCTTCTGAAGGTTTTTTTTTTTTAAAGAGTTGCCAGGAATTCATACTCAGAGTTCACATATCACTCCATATTCCTGGCAGCTCTAAAATGAAACGAGAACCTCTGGTGACACTAGAGCCACATTCCTGCATGACAGCCATCGACTGCCTCCTCTGCAGCGGCTAATGGTGGCCTCTTGTCTGCCCCAGTCTCCGCCACTCCCTAACGTCTTCCTGACACAGAACCCAAGCGCCAAGTGCTTATGTAGCTGTTCCGGTGCTGCTGTTTGCCGGTCGTGGAGTTTGGAGGAAAGTGCATGTCAGTATCCAAAGTGAGAAGATAGGAGGCGGTCAAGAGTTCCATGTTCTTCAAAAAATGTGGGAAAGAGAACGTTCCTTGGTGGAAGCAAAGAGCCTCCCTCTACATCTAATAAGCAAAGAGGACCTGAGTCACCTTTCTTAGGGAAGGAACCACAGCAGGCCCTGCACAGCCCCCCTCACTCGCTCATGTCCCCGGGGTGGGGGTGAGTGGTCCCTGGAGGCATCAAAACAGAGGCTCCAGGGCTGGACGTCTCCAGAATCTGAGGGCAGTCCCTCAGAGCCCTCTTTCTTTTGTTCCATCCTGCCTTGTAGCAAAGGCCGTGGACTTGGGGGATTCCCAGCATCTCCTCTCACTTGCTGTGGGGTCAGCTTCTTTCCCCCAGAACCATGGCCAGCAAACTGCGGCTCACGAGCCACATGCGGCTCTTTGGCCCCTTGAGTGTGGCTCTTCCACAAAATACCATGGCCTGGCGAGTCTACTTTGAAGAAGTGGCATTAGAAGAAGTTTAAGTTTAAAAAATTTAGCTCTCAAAAGGAATTTTAATCGTTGTACTGTTCATATTTGGCTCTGTGGACTAATGAGTTTGCCGAACCCTGCCCTAGAGTGGTGTGGGTGCTAACCTCATGGGTAGTTTTCTTCCTCAGCTGGGAGCACCATCCGCATTTGGCACGCTGGCCAGCCCGCCCCTGGGCAGTCAGGGTTCCAGGTAGGGAAAGGAGGTCTGAGACTGCCCTGTGGCCTCTAAGCATTTGGAGTGTGTATGTGCATGGGGGGGCGGGGGCAGGAGGGAAAGTTCCGGGAGGTGTGTGTGTGGGGGCGCTGGGGCGGGGGGGGGGGGGGGGGGGGGAATGTGGAGGTGGAAGCTGGGAAAGCCAGGCCATAGAGAGTGTGAGCAGGCAGTGCTCCTCACCCACAGACAGGAAAGTGACAAAGGGAAAGGTTGGGGAGACCTAGCAGGGAAAGTAACTCAGTTCTCACAGCTCAATGCAGAGCCATGCCTGGGCCGGTGTGAGCCATGGGTTACCAGCTAGGCCTGGGAGGGCGGGTGCATGCGGCCTGGATGGGAGGCTCAGGGGCCCTGGAGAGTGTGACTCCTCACCTGGCCATTGTCCTCAGCACCCTGTGTCAGCTCGGGGTGTGGGGGGGACCAGACCTGCCTCCTGGGGCTTTGAGGAGACAATCAGCTTTAACCTAATCCCTAGATCACATGTGTCAAACACAAGGCCCGCGGGCCAAATCCGTCCCGCCAGGCCTTGCAATGTGGCCCGCACCGCGCTGTCATCACTGCACTCCGCTGCGTTTCCATCACAATGACAGTTTATGACTGTTCAGTAAACCATTTGGCCCGCGATTTAGGCTGGATTTTAGATTTTGGCCCCTTCTCTGATTGAGTTCGACACCCCTACGGCCTAGATCAAAGGGGGCTCAGAGCTGCAAACTCACTTGACGGGGAGTGAGCATGGCTAGCCGCTGGCGCTGGCGCACCCACTCCAGAAGGAAGGGTCAGATTGTTAGGGGCTCCAAGATGCCGCCTTCTACAGAGCTGAGCTGGCCTGGCACCTGGCCCTCCACCTGCTCCCCAAACCCAGGCCCTGGCCTCACCGGGGAATCACCTCACCTGCCACAGGCTGCCTTAGCGAGGACTCCATAAGCAGCTCCCATGATGGATAGAGGGGGAAATCACTATTGCCCCATTTTCTAGATGGGGAAACTGAGGCTAGGGGAACTGAGGCACAGACACAGGGTTCCAGCCCTGGACCACAATCTCCCCGTGGGTATGGAGCATGTCAGTTTTTTTCCCGGCCCGCACACAGTGAATGCCCTCAGCATTACATCCACTTACAGAACTGTTACTGTACAGACTGAGGTTCACGTCCCAGCGCGCCCACCCCTCCCCTGCCCACTCTCTCTGCCCTCTCCGGCCAGCTGCTGGGACTGCAGTCCTTCAGCCAGGCTGTCACGGGGTGTCAGAGGGCGCAGAGCCACGCAGACTGGGTGCACCCATCCCCTCCAAGCGCTCGCTCACTTGGGGCTTTTCGGGCCTGGGCTCAGTACTGCCCGGCCCTGGGACCCCGGCCATCTTTCCACCGTCAGCTTCTCCAGGAAAGAACGCGGTGGGGAGGCACCGAGTGGCCTGGATCTGGCGCGCCCGGGGCGACGCGGAGCTCCCGGAGGCCTTGGGCGAGTCTGGGCGCAGCAGCGGGGCTGGGGGCGGAGCTGGGGGCAGAGCCTGGGCGAGGCGGTGACGAGGGGCGGGGCCGAGGCGGGGCCGTCGGCGGCGAGGGGCGGGGCCAGCGGCCGGCCCTCGGAGCCCGGAAGGAGCGGGAGGAGGAGCCGCGGGAGTGAGAGTCGTTCCCATGTGAGAGGCTCCGCGGCCAAATTCCTCGCGTGCGGCGGCGGCGGAGGCGGCGGGCGGCCTGGCGTCCGGCCGGACGGAGAGCCCCGGTCCGACGCGAACCGGCGGCCGGGCGGGCGGCGGGGGCGGAGCGCGGCTGCGCCCAGATGCGGCGGCCGCCCCGGGGGCTGTGAGCTGGGCGCCCGCCTGCGGGGCACCCCGCCCGCCTCGGGCAGCGCCCCCCGGCACGCGGCATGCGGGCGGCCGACTCGGGCTCCTGGGAGCGCGTCCGGCAGCTCGCGGCGCAGGGCGAGCCGGCGCCTTCCTGCGGGGCCGGGGCCGGGGCCGGGCCGGCGCGCCTCCCGGGACCAGCCGCCGGCGAGCCGTGTGCGGACGCCGCAGGGCCCGGCGATCGGCCCCGCGCCCGGGCGCCCTCCGTGCGAGCCGATGGCGACTGCAGCCAGCCCGGTAGGTGCGCGCCGGGAGCGGAGGGGAGGGGAGGGGAGGGCGGCGCGGCCTGGGGAGCCCGGGGAGCGGCGGGCCGGCGCGCGGGGGCGCTCCCGCCGGGGTCGGGGAGCCGCTGGCTGCAAAGTTCTCGCCGCCGCTGCGCGCCGAGCCCGGAGCTGGGGGCCGGTGCAGGGGGAGAGCGCGGGAGGCGAGTTTGTTCCGCGCGGGGACGGACATCTCGGGGCTCCACGGCTTTCCCGCCGACCCCCTCCCCCACCAAAGGGCTGCGGAGGGAGGTCAAGGCCACGCCTGCCGGTGCTGTGGGTCCCAGTGCAGTCAGTCCCGCCGCACCTGGAGACCCGGCTCCGGGCGGGACCCAGCGCCTGTTCTGCAGAGGGGCCAGCCCCGCGTGAAGTGTGGGCGGTCCCCCGAAACCCACTTGGTAGCCCCACAAAGTGCCAGGAGAGCCCTGCTTTACCGAGAGGAAAAGTAGTGATTTGCATGTGCTGGGAGCGAAGCGATTTCTCTCACGCAGACAGAGACCTCGCCGGCGGAGGCAAACGCAGCGAGAGGTCTGATTCCGTATCGCTGGCTGATCCACCCAAGCGGACCGCAGCGTTTTCGCGTTAAAATTCCCCGAGTGGGTGCGCTCATTCCGTTCTGCTCCGGTCTCAGCAGGTCCCCTGGTCACACCCCCATCCCGCAAGTTATGTCATGGGGGCAGGGAGGGCTGGGGCAGAGGAACCCCTGGGTCTTTGGACTCAAGGCTTAGGAAAAAATTTAGATGGAAGATGGAGGGTCTGTCATCAGCAGTTTGAATACTTTTCCCAGGAAACATTAGAAGGGAGCCTACGTGATTATTCATTCCGTTTGAACTCTTATTGTGTCCTGGTGGTTTTCATGCTGTGACTCCTGGAATCTTATCCGGGCTCCGGGAAGTAGTCTTATCCCAGGGAAGGTGAGGACAGCAGGAAAGGCCTGAGGGTAATGGACTTGATAATGGACATCCCCCCTCCCCCCAAGCCCCAACAACTCCCTAAACCTTGGTGCTGGGAACTTCTAAATTTGTCTTTCCATGGACACAGAATGCCTTTCCCAGGCAGCCAGCTTCCCAGCTAATCCTCCTTTTTGTCCTCTGAGGAACTTCAGCCAGCAGCCAGGCCCTTCTTCCAGGCTGCCTGGTGGTGGCTCCAGGGGATGGAATTCGGGGGGCCGCGGTTCGAGGGGACTGCCCAGCAGCTGGCTCTCATTAGCCGGGCTCCCGCTGGTGTCCTGGAGCCACGGAGAGCTTGGGTCAGCGAGGGCGCTGAAGAGGGACCTGAGCTCTGGGAGGAGCGTGAGTCCCTGGCCGTTTGGCCTTGGGGCTGAGCCAGCTGAAGACAGCCCCCCACCCCACCCCGCTTCCCCAGCTGCATGGAACATGGCCCGGGACTTGCTGTACAACAGCATCAATGCAAAGAATAAGCAACTGGGACAGCTCAGGCAAGCTGCTTGAGCACTCCTGTTTGGAGCATTCAAGGCTGGTGTCTGCAAAGCACCTCGCCTCGTTGGTCCTTGATGCTTTAATGAGTCTTAGTCGCCAGCCTCCCTGTTGCATTAGGATGGATGCTGTCTGCTCCATCGCCACCTCCTGCGCTGTGCCAGGATGCCTTCCTGTCTGGTCTGTAAGGGACCGGAGTGATGCAAGGCCCGGAGGTGGTTATTATGTAAACATTTTGAAGATGGCCGGGTGGAGATACATCTGTTTACTTTGTGTCTACATGACTCCCGTTGGTGTTTCATAATAACAATAACCTAATGACACGGTGTCACCGAGAGGCCTGTCTGAGGGCTGGGGCGGCGGATGTTCGGATGGCCCTCAGGTGGCCCTGGGGGCTGTGCTGATCTCCTGGCCTGATGTGCAGGTGATATCACTGGCCTGAGACGGCCAGGCCAGCAGCGAAACCCGGGAGGTTTCCGAGTTCTCTCTCCCCAGCCGCCCTCTGCCCTCGGCTGGTCTGGTTCGGAAAGACCAAATGAAGCTCCTGAGAACTTGCACGGTGTCCAGGCCTGGAGGACATGGACATGGACATGGACATGTCATGGACACGGGTGTTACAAGGCCATTTCCTCTGGGACTGTGGTCAGCAAACTGCGGCTTGCGAGCCACATGGGGCTCTTGAACCACGATTTGCTGCTCTGTTGACTAATGAGTTTGCCGACCACTGGTCTGGGAGCATACGTGGGAACTCTGCTGGCGTAGCACCACACGCTGAAATAAGCCTTTTAGCCCGGCAGTGAGGCGGCTCAGCCCAGGATCTCAGCACATCGGTCCCCAGCCCGATGTGAGGCGGAGTTGCAGGAGCTGAGGGAGTGCCCTGTTGGGTGGCGGAGTCCAGTGTGGGGAAGAGGACAGGGACAGGGGACCCTTGATTGAAGGGATGGAGGACTGGGCATCCTGTCACCCTCCTGAGATCAGCAGGTGGCAGGCCCCACGCTGGTGACCACTCTGGCCTGGGTGGGGCCTCTGCCAGGGCAGGTTACCGGCCTCTGCACTCAGACTGGGGACCAGAGCAGGAGATGTTAGGCACTTGTTCCATCGACACCTGGTTCTGCCGAGATACTTGGTGACTCGGTTTCCCTCTTGGTGGGAATAACTCTGTCTGGGCCCCAGCGGAGCCAACCAGGGGCTCCCTGCGTGTTCTTGGACCGGGAGCGCGAATTGCTTCGTCTTTGGTTGTCCGTCCGTTCATTCGGTCGCGTTTCTTGAGCATCTCTGCCTGCCAGGCAGTGTTGTCGCTACCAGGGAGGTAGCCGCAGAGGAGACAACCGCAGCCCTGGTTTCCATGGAGCTAGTATTCTGTGGGAGGAGAGTGCCAGGAGGAAGAGGCAGGGGCAGGGGCAGGGGGTGGTGAGCGCTGTGCAGGCACGTAAGGCCAGGTGAGGGGTCCGCGTGATGGGTGCTCTTGCAGTCATTAGGTAGGTGGTCGCAGGGAGAGCCAGTTCCAGGACGAGGTGCGTGGGTGCTGAGTCCCTAAAGCAAGAGGGCGTTGCCACTCAGTTAAAGGAACCCAGTCATTGTTTACAAGTTCTCGGGAAATTAGTATCTCTGTGGACTGGGCGCTTTATCTGTCCACATCTAAAGCCCTCATCCTCCAGGCCCAGGTCAGATGCCACACTACCTCGTTCAGCTCAGGCCCAGCGTACAGGACCCGGGGCCACTGTACCCTCTACCTTTTTATTGGTCATTTGAGTTCTTAGCTCCTCTGGCCCCTCTGCTCACTTAAAGAGCAAGGAGGAGGGACCAGACTTTGTTTATCTGGGCATTAGCTCCCAGCATTCTACTTTTCTGAGGCAGGAGCCAAACGTACCCCAAGCTTTGTCTTAGCCAGTGGGCCAGGAACCCTCAGGGAAGGGGCCATCGCTAATCTCACCCTCCCTCGACCCCCCAGGGGGAAACCGGTGCCCGGAAAAAGCCAGTAACTTGCCCGGGATCACAGAGTAGGTGTTAGAGCCAGGATCTGGTCCCTGATTTTAGATCTCTCTGCCATGAGGAAAGGCCTGGTGCTGATCTAGAGACCTACATTAAGTTTCCAGTCCGGTTTTTCTTTAAATGTGTTTTAACCCTCACCTGAGGATATTTTACCATTGCTTTAGTAGAGAGAGGGAAAGACAGAGAGAAACATCAACGTGAGAGAAACACATGGATTGGTTGCCTCCTGCAGGAGCCCTGACCAGGGCCCAGGCCGGGGAGGAACCTACAATCAAGGTTCCTGCCCTTGACCAGAATCGAACCAAGGATCCTTTGGTTCGCAGGCTGAGACACTCTATTCACTGAGTCAAACCAGCTAGGGCCTGTGTGGTTTTTAAAAAAATTGATTTTAAAGAGAAGGAGAGAGAGAGCGAAAGAAACATGAATTGGTTGCCTCCTATACACACCCCAATTGGAGATTGAACTCATAACCTAGGGGTGTGCCTGGACCAGAAATCGAACCCACAACCTTTGGGTGTATGGGATGACACGCCAACCAACTCAGCCTGAGCTCTTTTTTATTGATTTTGTACAGAGAGGAAGGGAGAGAGATAGAGAGTTAGAAACATCAATGAGAGAGAGTCATTGATCAGCTGCCTCTTGCACACCCCCTACTGGGGATATGCCCGCAACCAAGGTACATGCCCTTGACTGGAATCGAACCCGGGACCCTTCAGTCCCCAAGCCAACACTCTATACATTGAGCCAAACCAGTATTGGCTCAGCCTGGGCTCTTTAAAGTTTTATCTTTTAAGCAAGATTTGTCCTCTCCTTGACATTCTTTGTTTTAAGCAACTCAGACATTTGCAGCTGGGTCATTTTGGCGTTATCCCTTTGGAAAAGGATTAATGCTGGGTGAGAGACCCACTGGGTCCCTAGGGTTCAGTTGAGCTTCCTGGTCTAATGGGTGAGACAGAGACATGGGGGCGTGGCTGTCCTGGACTCTCCGGAGGGAGAGTCGTTGCTCCTGAAAGACACTGAGATTGGTTTTCCTGGAGAGGCCTCCTGTGGCTGCTCCCTCCTTCTGCCAGGGCAGGTGGCACACCATAGTGGGCACAGGCACCGGCTTTGCCAGCAGACACCCTGGTTTGAATTCGCCGGCTTTGTTCCTAAGCAAGTTCTTTCACATCCGGAGCCTCAGTTCGCCCATCTGTAAAATGGGATCACATTGCCCACCTGAGAGCTTGTTGGGCAAGAATCCAGAGCATCCTTCATCCCTATGGAACCTGTGCCATAAGAGGGCAGGGAATGCTCGTTCCATCCAGAGTCCACGGAACTTCAATGAGTGCATGTGTATGAATTACAAACAAACAAACAAACAAAAAACTTGAAGTTTGAAATACGGGGATTTGATGAGACGTGATTCTGAAGGACCACCAGCTGCTCATTCGGCCTCTGGGTCATCAGGAAATGTCCATGAGGATCGTGATGCACTCCTGTGCTCTCTGTGATGTCCCAGCTGTGTTAGCCGGACATTGGCTAGGACCCTCCAGCCATTCTGGAGAAAGAA